CAGAGATCACACCACTGCACTCCAGCCAGGGTGAGAGAGTGAGACTGTTTCTCAAAAAAAAAAGAAAAAAGAAAGAAAGAAAAAAAGGGTTATAAAAATATTTCATTGTCTAAAATTGCTAAATGACCTATCTAATATATACAAGATGAGTTGCAATTGTTCGGTAAAAATAAAGATAAGATAAAAATAACAACATCACACATGTAGAGCAAGTAGACTGAGAGAGAACAAAGATAGACATGTGGCAAGAATATTTACCAAGAAGTTATAAGGGTAAGACATATGTTTGTCTAACTGCTTTTTGTCAGTCAATGTAGATGGAAGTATGATCACAAAGTTCATTTAAAAATAAAAGAATCTGTTGTTCAAGAGAATCTCAATAATTTCTAGAAAATAAAATCTGAAAGAAAAATTTCACAAAGGTAAACACAGAGTAAACACCGCAATGCCATCAATATCATATCAAAAATATTGTGACATAAATACAGTGAGTAATGGAGAATTGAGAAAAGTCTTACTTAGCATAGGGTGGGAACACCCTGCCAAAACCAATTTAATAAAATCAATTGTCTGATGTAATTAACATGGTGTGTTCCTTGTAAACTGCTCTCAGATCAACTGGTTTAATCCAGAAGGAGATTTTATATCACTCTTATCCTGAATATATAAGATTTGATATCCTTCAGAAAATACGTAATCACCAATACTTCCTCAGTTGAGTTTTTGTTTATATTAGGTAACCATGAATTAAATATTATACTCTCTGAGAAGTACCTAGAGTAGAGCTCTGCTGTGCGTGGCTGTTTGCTTGAATAAAGAATCAAATTGATAGCATGCAGTAGGGGGACTATAGCAGATAATAAAGTAGTATATATTTCAAAATAGCTAGAGGATTTTACATGTCACCACAAAGAAATGATTAATGTTTAAAGTGATGGATATGGTAATTACCCTGATTTGATCATTATACAATGTATACAATGTATACATGTATGGAAACATCACACTATCTTATAAATATGTACACATATTATATGTCAATTATAAACAAAACAAAAAGTTAAAATTCATAGTTTTTGGTTTTTTTTTTTTTTTAAAGACAGAGTCTTGCTCTGTCACCCAGGCTAGACTACAATGGGGCTATCTCGGCTCACTGCAACCTCTGCTTCCCGGGTTCAAGCGCTTCTCCTGTCTCAGCCTCCGGAGTAGCTGGGATTGTGAGCACCCGCCATTATGCCCAGCTAATTTTTTGTATTTTTGTAGAAATGGGGTTTCACCATGTTGGCCAGGCTGGTCTTGAACCCTAGACCTCAAGAGATCCGTCCACCTCAGCCATCCAAAGGGCTGGGATTACAGGCATGAGCCACCGTGCCCGGCAAAATTGATAATATGTTTGACATCCCAAGAAAATGTGAAGAACTTAATAAGGTTATAAGAAGAACTGAAATATTATTTCTGTTTGTACTTTTTTCTGGAGCTGGGGAGAGAAGGAGGTTGGAGGGAGATAGAACACGTTGTTAATGGATTTGTAATGTTTCCTATATTGTACAAAATTTATGCAAGTGGTTGCGTTAGAACAGTCAGGAAATGGAAAGGATATTTATTGAATGCCTTCTAATTATTATTTTAAAATATTGATTAGGTATCTGTTTATAGGATGTCAGGTTAGGGGAAATTAACAGAAAATTTTTTACTTCTGAACACCCAAATATATGGGTGCTTGGCTGAGGTCATTTTGAATAAAAGTTCTGTTCCTAAGTCAGACGTTGCTGATGGTAGAAATATCCTATGGCAGAAGACTTAATAGAAATAACTGCATCCAATAAAAATTTACTTTTGGCCGGGTGCAGTGGCTCATGCCTGTAATCCCAGCACTTTGGGAGGCCGAGGAGGGAGAATCACCTGAGGTCGGGAGTTTGAGACCAGCCTAACCAACATGGAGAAACCCCGTCTCTACTAAAAATACAAAATTAGCTGGGCGTGGTGGCACATGCCTGTAATCCTAAATACTAGGGAGGCTGAGGCAGGAGAATCGCCTGAACCTGGGAGGCAGAGGTTGTGGTGAGCCGAGATCGTGCTATTGCACTCCAGCCTGGGCAGCAAGAGTGAAACTCCATCTCAAAAAAAAAAAAAAAAAAAAAAATATATATATATATATATATATATTTTAATAATTATTGCTGATCGCAACAGAACCTAACAAAACATAAAATAGGATGATCTTAAACCAAAGAAATACAATGGTATTGCTGTATCTTGACCGTGATTGATAGTTAACATGACAGAGCTTTTAGCCTCACTGGTTACCAACTGGATGATTCTGTTTCCTTTTGTTGGATGAAAAGGGGAAAGAAAGGGTCAACTTGGGAAATAATGAGACTTTTAGGTACTGGTAAGAGTAGTTATCAAAGCAAACTTACTAAGGGCACCAAGCTCATAAACCAAATTAACCAATTGTGGTTCTTGCCTTATTTAGGTGAGAAAGTACCTGAATATCAGAATGTTTCTTGAAGAGCGTGAAATATTACTATATTAAACTAAAAACAATTTGTTATCATCATTGCTGAATCAAACACCATCTTATAGTCTATATATTCTAGATTCCACTATGAAGAAGTAGCAGATCAAATGAAATACTTTTTTAATATAAGAAAATATTTTCTATTGAAAGAATTATTTTTATATGTTTTCTGGTACATTGGAAAAAGCTTGCCACCACCAGAGGATGTCTTGAAGAGGAAATGAAAACTGAGCGATTACCTAGAACTACAAGAAAGATTACCAGAAAATTATCTCTGTGCACTAACTAGAATGATTAAATTAGTTAGAAAGAAGACAACTCAGTGATTTTTTAAAAAAATGTACCCATTGGTGTTACATTGGTATTGAAACACTTATTTTCTATTATACTAGTTACATGTCTCCTTTTATCTTAGTCAATTAATATATTGAAAGATTTATATGAAGTTCTATGTTTGAGAGTAATAACTTACTTATACCATAGTTTTCTTTAGTAGCTTTAGCAGATTATGCAAGAGACAAGTCAGTTATAATTGTAAATTTCTAGCTGGGAAAATAGACCTAGGAGACATGGCTGTTGAGAAAGGAGATGCTGGCAGATCACTGGGTTGTTTGTTTCTAAATCCAGTGGATTTTTCTATGTTATGCTGTCATTTATATGATAATTCATTCATATACAGAGATTGAGTGAAAGGTCTTCTCCTAAAAGTATTTCTTAATTAAAAAGAAGTTTAAACCACAGAACAGGTAGAAAAATAATGTATTCAATGTAAATAGCATTAACTTCTGTGATAGTGCATTCTAATTATTCATGGTAGCTCCTGAATTACAGATTTTCCAGCCCCTGTTGGTCATAGCAGTTAAATTCGCCTGTATCCCAGGAAGCAAATATCTTACAAATGAGTATAGCAACATGCTCCATATGCATTCAATTCAAGACACACTAATAATTTCAAAGGGAAAAAAACACAGCCTACACAATGTAGATATTGATTGACACATGAAGATATGCATCTCCAATATGTTTTAAAATGTGACTTGGAATCAGTTAAATATTGTTCCTTTACATTGCAATCATTTCTGATTTATTTTCCTATTTCCAGGGTATCGATCTTTTCAGTAAGAAGGGACAGATAGTTCCCAATATTGGAAGAGTTTTGTTTCATACCTAGGGCATTTGAGAAATAGATGCTGAGGTTAACACTCCTGGAGATAGCAATTGAAGCCAGAAGGTGGAATGAAGTAGGTAGGGTATGATGAGAGTAGGAGATGATAGACACAGGCCTTGTACAGGGATGGTATGGGAGTAGCATTTTTGAAGGCTTTAAACCTAGTGAGAGCAAATCATATCAGCTATGACAGTCAAAAGTATTCAGTTGATTATGACAAGAGTAAAACTGTCAAAGTGATGACAAAAAAAGGGGGAAACATTTTTTAAATTAAAAATCTAGCTGAGTTTGAAGTAGAGAGCAAAAATTTTTCATCTGTCTACACTGTCAGCTTTCTGTGCATGTAAAACATATTTATTATTTTCTAAATTAATTTAATGAGTTTCAGATTGTACAGGATGTCATCATGGAAACAGGATTATGCAAGATAATAAGCAGTTTTGTTCTCTAAATGAATTTTACCTAGACTCCCTGTGTTGTACTTTTGATCTGAACTGTGTTTCATTTACCACATTGGAGGAGGTTACATAAAGGGTAAAATAATAGCAACTTAATCAGGAAACAGGTTTTCTTTTTGCTGCACTTTATTATGTACTTTTGCCTTATTCCATAGCTTAATTCCTGAAAATAATAAAAGATGTGTCATTTTAAAATAAGAACAATTGAAACCACATTGCATTGTAATTATGCATCTGTTTTTCAAAGCCATCCCTAAATTTTCACACCAATTGATCTTCAGAACAAACTTGTAGATTATTTAGGAATTATTGGTGGGTAGTATAAACTTCCTGCACTCTACCTTCTGTAAAATGCTAGATAAATATTAGTTGGCAAATTTAATTTTACAGATAAAAAATAAACAGAGGCAAAATAATTTCTCTGAAATACATCCTTGTTTCCAAAAACTTAATCCAATAACTTTTTGTGTTACAGAATAATATAATACAAACTGGCCCCATTAGTCCAAGCACGGAGTTTTGCAGTGAAAATAATTTCCTGTAGAGTATTTATCATGACATATAAAGACGTATAGTTCTGCTACACACATGACTGATTTTGTAAATGTAATGCCATTTTCTGGTAGACAAATCTCCGTCTGTTTTATGTAACCCATACCAAAATGATTAGTCGATTTAGGTAGGCATTTGGGCTCTGAAACCTTACATCATTGACATTTCTGTCATCCTCAATCAATATGAAACAACTTGAAACTTGGCAATAACTTGTCTCCTGAATTTCCAAATAAAAACTTTGGAAAGTTGAGATTACTTCTCTAATATTTTCTCATTTCATTTTCTCATCACTGACCAGATAATCACCATGGCCACAGCCCTGAAGAGCGAATCATCTACGGTGTAGAGAATAGTAGCACATTTTTGGAATGCAGTCCGAAGTCACAGCGAGCACTGGTCTACTGGCAATTCCAGAGGCGAAATGAAGAGCGAAAAGAAGAGGTACAGGAATGAAACTGACTGGATTATTTATATCTAAGATATACTGTTAAGTAACCCTTGTATTTTTTACTTGAGGAAAGAAAAAGCACTGAGAATGCTTATCCTCTTCTGAACCAATCAATCGCTCGTTCATTAAACAAGTATTTGGTGCAGACTGATGATGTGACAGACTCTGTACTATGAATTAGACAAAGAAAGGTAACCTGGTAAGAGTTTCTGTCCCAGAAGCAGTTTAGAGATACATAATAGACTCCCCTTATTTCTTACTGTGTTTATCTACAAAGAAATTGTGTTATCTAAATTTGTGCACAAATTAAAAAAAAAACCCTCCTACTAATTTTAAATTGTGTTAAATTAATTATGTTATCAAAATCTGTTTTTCTTTATCCATTACCTTCCTCTTTAAATGGGGAAGGGAGATTGGGAAAAGATAGTAGTAGATGTAGGATGAAGGATTTAAGTCTGCACTATAAGCTCTGATACCAACTATTGATGCAGGATGAGGCAGATTTCCCTGCGCATTTGATCCACTTATAACTCCCTAAGAGTAAAGAATTGTATACAGAAAATCTTAGTGAGCACTATGAGCCTTTAAAACTTTTTAACAGCCTTAAATAAGTGTAAACAGACTATTAAGTTGATTAATAAAATGTATTATATTCAGACAATTTTACAAACATAATACGATGTTAAAGGTAAAAACTCCTCCATTATCTTTTCACATTTTAATCAGTCTTAAAACTATATAATCCCATCATAAAATGCAAGATTGACTTTATGCATTACCAGGTGAGGCTTTTTGAGACCTCTGTTGTAAACTGTATTCAAAATAAAAGCGACGTTACAAATATTCAAAAATATGGTCTCATATATATTCCCATTCAAGACCAACTAAATGAAATAAATAATTAGTAAGCATGAAATTTTCTGCTTGTTCAACTTCTATTTTTTTTAATTTCATTTTTGGAAATCTTATTATAAATTCATTCTAATGTCCCATATCTTTCTAGTATCATGGTTCTGTAGTTCTAATTTCAATATTTAATGTTAACTTTATCCTACATTTATAGACCTACTTTCAAATTTATAAAGTATCTTTGCTCTTTCCTCCAGTTACCTTGACTATTTTAATCATTATGATAAGAAATTCTACGAAGACAGTAATATAACCAATACTCCCCAATACATCTTAAAAATAATTGACAGATATTATAATTCTCCTAATGGAAAAATGCTATCAATTTTCTTAAATTAAAAATTTTATTAACTGTTAAACTGTGCCTCGATACATAATCTAAAGTTTTACAGACACAGAGTTTCAGAGCTTGTATTTCTTTTAAATATGTATATTTTACACTGCCTTTTTTTAACCTGCTAGATCAGAGTGGATGATCATATCATCAGGACAGATCAAGGCCTTCTGCTGCGTAGTCTACAACGGAAGGATTCAGGCAATTACCTCTGCCATGCGGTGGAACATGGGTTCATACAAACTCTTCTTAAGGTGACCCTGGAAGTCATTGACACAGAGCATCTGGAAGAACTTCTTCATAAAGATGATGATGGAGATGGCTCTAAGACCAAAGAAATGTCCAATAGCATGACACCTAGCCAGAAGGTCTGGTACAGAGACTTCATGCAGCTCATCAACCACCCCAATCTCAACACGATGGATGAGTTCTGTGAACAAGTTTGGAAAAGGGACCGAAAACAACGTCGGCAAAGGCCAGGACATACCCAAGGCAACAGTAACAAATGGAAGCACTTACAGGAAAATAAGAAAGGTAGAAACAGGAGGACCCACGAATTTGAGAGGGCACCCAGGAGTGTCTGAGCTGCATTACCTCTAGAAACCTCAAACAAGTGAAACTTGCCTAGACAATAACTGGAAAAAAAATGCAATATACATGAACTTTTTTCATGGCATTATGTGGATGTTTACAATGGTGGGAAATTCAACTGAGTTCCACCAATTATAAATTAAATCCATGAGTAACTTTCCTAATAGGCTTTTTTTCCTAATACCAACACCTAACAGAGAACACAGGTGAATGCAGTTGTTCACTTTAGCAGACTTAATGTTTCCTATGAGATTTCACTGTACAGGTTTGTCTTTCTTCTTTGCCTGAGAAATAAAAACGTCATTTGCCATATTGCCATCTAAAGGAGAAAAACTGCATCAGCAAAGCCATTGTATTGAACTAAAAGTTTAAAATGAACTGCATGGATTTACTAAGCTGATGAATATTCCAAAATGTGGTTGGATTCAAGGATATATTTTGTCTACCGGCCCTCATGTTTGTATGTACTTGAGGAGTAAAATGAGTAAAATGATACTGAATGAAACGTTCTGTGGAAATATTAAAAAAAAAAAAAAAGAAAACATAAGCCATCCATCATCCAGAAGAAAAATGGAGTACACTGATCTACTACTGATGTCTTCTTTCAGCTTTGATCTAAAGATGTATTTTATTAAAACTATAATTTAAATGTACCATGACAAATATGCAGTAAAAATTAGTTGTTTTCTAAGCTAGAGTAGGATTTGTCTTACAATTATTGTGCTATATAGTTTTTGTTTTAAAAATTCCAATGGTGTGCTGCTTTCTTTGGACATTTTATTTTCAATTCTGTAAGAGGGATAGACGATATTGTTCTAGAAACATATATACATCATTAAGAGTGAACCTCTAAAACCAAGATAGAAATTATGCTTTATTTCTCTGAGAAAATCAAACAAATGGAAGCTGTTCACACCTCCCCTTCTTTAAGCATTATCTAAATCAATTTTTACTTTCATAATGTTCTTAGAAAAAAAACGGAACATTTAACCAGGAAAAAAGGAAGAAATAAATTGATTTTTAAGTGCATTTTACTATAATGAATCAATGAAGGGAAAAGGAACTGCATATTTCATGAAAATAATAAGCATTGTCTTAATATACTGTTAATAGAAAATGTGTCTTAATTCTGTGCTTGAATTCCTGCATGATATTTGAGACAAAGATCTCTCTTATGATTCCACTAAGAATTTTATCTGTGTCACTTAATTTTTTTGAAAGAGAGAGATCAATAACTATTCAGAGCAACATGTTAAAGGCAAAGTTTCCAACCATTTACATCTGTATCAGGTGCCTCTTATCTTTCCTTATTTAAGACAATTATTTGTACAAGAAACACATGACTCTTTTCATGTCAATGGGAGGGACTTTTCTACAAAGTATTTTCCAGGATGCAACTCACATTTAAACAATGTAAAACTCTTTGTTTCCTGCAACAACTTACAAAATAAGGTAAAAGACTAAAATTCAAGATTTGCTTCCTTCATTGTCCTAAGACATTTCATTGAGAATCACTGACTTTGAGATATTTAAAACTTTCAGCATTATACTGTGGTTTCTTTTGCACTGCACTCACCTATTCAGGACTCCTCCCCCAGGTTCCTCATCATGCACAAAAATGCAAAGAAAACATCTTATTAGTAATTAATGAAGCAACATTGAAATTCTAATTCTAGCTGTGTTTGGATTCTAATTAACTCAGCATCAATTTCTCACCTCAGACTACAGTGAATTTTTATTTTCTATCAGCTGAAATATTTCACAGATGGAAGCTCATGTTTCAGTTTTAATGATTGCCTTGAATAAACAAGTTGTTGCCACTTGTTTCAAACAGAAGCCTAAAAATAATCTACATTCAATTTTAGGCTCCATTGACTAATATGGTGTTGCTTTTGGAAGTACTGTATATCCTCAAATGGATGCCGAATCGTTAAATTATTTGAAGGACACACCACTGTACAGAAAATAGTGTTTGAAATATAAATCAAAGAACAAAGAGTGCTCCAAAAAATAGGTCATTCTTTTATTTTCATAAAGTAACTGTACTAACATTCAGTGTTGTGTTTCATTCTAAATTTTGCAGCTGAAATAAATTTATTTGCAATAGCAGAAATATCTTATTATTCATCCTCAAAAATAAAGGATTTGAAGGGATAGAGATTATATGATAACTTTATAGAAGCCTTTCAAAATCTGAATGCATTTTGTTTAGTGTTATGAAATGACAATAGAAAAAAGTCTCGACTTCAATTAAAAGTTACACAAATAAACAAATCTACAGGCATGTCTTTATATACCATCAGGTCTAAGTTTTCCAAGAAAATTGTAGATATAACTTGCAGATCAGTAACTCATTACAGTCATAATCTCTACCCATGTGTATTGAGAGGGGGCAGTTTGCACGAAAAAGAATTATTAGCCCATTTAATAATTCAGCTTTAATAGACTTTGTCATATGCATGAATCATCAGAGATGAAACTGTTTGAGAGACTCATGTGACCTTACGAAAATTACAACAGCAGTCTTAAAGTATGAAAAAGATGCATCACGGCAGAGATATTTATGGCCCAGTTGATATCAAATGTAAAATGTAAATGCATGTAAATGCACACTTCATTTTATGTATTATTTAGTAATTTTCAATGGTATGTGTTTAATATTTTTGCTACCTACACATCAGGCAAAAAAGATGTAAATAATTTGGGAGGAAAAGAGAAAGAACAGTGTAAAATAAAACTTTCTATAGGTACTCCATTTCAGTGTGTTCAACATCCTAAAATGCAAGATTTTCCCACGCAGGTGACAAGGTGGTTTATGTACTATATAAGGGCAGAAGGTGCGTGCCCATTCAATAAGCATGTTTTTTGCCAGGTAGGAAATATGTTCCATATCTGTATTTATCATTGCATTTCAGATGGGAACTAGAAAAACTGGAGAGAAAAATGTAATGAAACTGCTGCTGTAAATTATTCCTTTTAGCATGTATTCACTTGCTAAATACACATTTCTTCAAAATATTTGAATTCAGATGTCTTTACTGTTCCCTATAACATATGGTGTTAAGGAACATAAGCTCATAAAATGTTGAGAACCAGAGGCAGGTTGCTACATAATTAGCTAACAGATTTCTTCATTGTAATCATCTGTAAACTGGATTCTATGTTTATAGTGAGGATGTGAATTTTTACGCCCTTTAAATTAAATATTGTTCTTTTTAATGTCATACCTAAAAAGGAAATGTAGGGATAAATTTTTATAATGTGTCATTTTCATAATCAGTTTGGTTTTATTCAGGATCTACAAAGATGTCAGATGATTGTTATTGAAATAGCTAATCTTAAAGGTCACAGACAAGCGTTTTATTAATACGCAGCCATTAGTATAATATGTTAAAATCTTTGTTTTATTAGCTCATTTTAAAACACAATTTCCATTCAATTTAATGAAACTCAATCAGGTTTCATGATTTCAAAGACAGACTTAAATAGGATTCAACATTCCCGTATTGTGTAATAACATGTTAGAATTTAACTAGTCTAACACCAAAGACATCTATTACTTTTAACTTGATTTGTAATAATTATTTGAAGTCAATGTTAATGGTTACAAATACACGTTTCCATAAAAAAGAAAACAGTATTTTTCAAAAATCTGTAAAATCTTATTAGTTTGTTGGATCTCTAAAAATTTTCTTAAACTAGTTAATTAAGTGAACATAATTTTTCAAGTTAATAAATTAAGAAAATATCTAAATGAAAGAGAGAATGAAATCAATATATGTGGCAGCCCATATAGTAAGGACAGTTTCACAATCAACGTAACCAAGGAAAACAGCTTTGTTATCATTTCAAACATGCAGGCACACACAGGCAGAGGCAAAGCTGGAACCAAACCAAACAAAAAGATGATTTTGAATATAAAAAAACTGGGCCTCTAGACACTTTGCCTTTTAGAACCAGCTTCCTACATGTCCGAGTAAATTCCACTGATAGATCTTGAGTATCTACAATGTCCTAGGCATTATGTTAGGTGATGAGGACACTAAAGTGAATAAGACATAACCCTTGTTCTCAAAGAGCTCACACTGAAATTAAGGAAACAGAGAGAGATGACTTATCATCATCTAATCCAGCAAGTCTTTCCTGATCCTCCCATCCCTAGTTCAAGCTAACCACCTTTTCTGTGCTAAACCTGTGCCTTGTATATAGCTTTTATTGTCACACTAGCCCAGTGTGTGGTTTATTTGTTTATGTTTCCATCTCCATTTCTAGACTGTGAGCTCCTTGAGGGCAGGATTTGTATCTAATTGATCTCTGTCCCCAGTGTCTAGCATGATGCCTGGCACAAAGAGGGAGCTCAATAAATCACTGTTGAAAAGAACCAAGTTACCATATGACAATTGCCAAATACAAGCTCACAATAAAAGTAGTATGGATCAAAGGAAAAAAAAAAAAAAGGAGGAATTAACTTGTGGAGAGAGATCATGGGTGCTTCAGAGAACAAGTGACTTTCCAGCTGTGAATCAGTCAGATATGCCTAGATGAAGAAACAAAATGGCAATCTGAGTAGAAGAAATAAGGAGAAAGGAGGAGAGGTGCAAAAAAAAGTCCTTTTTCTGAGAACAAGTATTCAAACAGATAAAACACAGGTTTCATGAAGAAAAGTTAAATGTCCCAGTACTATGAGTCAAAATGGTGCATTTACTTTTTCCTGGGTTTTGATTTATTGCCCTCTGTTTGTACCCCACATTCTCATCCTTGGCGCAGACTGTCATATGTCATGCATTCAGCCTCCCACACTTCCACCCCACAAGCTCTTTACCTTCCTTCTTAATGTTCACCTCATTTATCTTTACTCAGTTAAAGTCATAGCACTAGGCAGTGTTCCCACAACCATCTTCAAACTAATCCTTATTTCATAATCTCTTCTCTAGTTCAAACCACCACGCATCAGCTGAAACTCTGAATTCTACAAATAAATATTTACAGGAAGCTAACTTCATCAGAGACTCCTCGGTGCTCTGACTCAGTTCAAACGAAAGTTTGTGTTATATTTCACCTACCTACAGCCTTACCTCACTTAGCTAGCATTAGACTACTCAGCAATGAGTTCCAACATTGCCTTGCTAAAAAGCAACGTGGCACACAAACAAGACTTCAGCAAAGATAGCATTAAAATATGAAGTTTGCATTTGTTCAAGGCATACCTTAGTTGGAGTAATCCATGGCCAAGATAGGCAGACTTCTATTATTTTAAACAAACAAACCAAAAAAGTTTTTTTTTTTTTTTTAAATGAGATCCACCTTCATCTTGAATATGTCAATCCCACACCACCATTGTATTAAATGTCATGTTTTTCTCATATAACAAAAGAATGGATTTTATTTCTTTTAATCTAAACACTATACTTGTATATACAATGTTTATTTATATAGGACCTAAGCAAAAGTTTTTATAGATGTGTTCATGTCATCACAATTCAGGTAATTTGAAGTCTCAACTTCCGTCTTCTCTCTTTGTAAATCTCACTGAAGCATTAGACCTCAAGTAAATACATTTGTAAAAAATCCATTGCATTTGTGTAGCTCAGTTCTTAATGTTTTGTTTGTCTTGTTGATAACTAATTCCAGAGAAGTTTAAACATTTTCAGACAAAGTTTTCATCTAAAATCAAACAGCCACTTTAGGAATTTTTTAAATACACTACAATTTTTAGGGATTTTCATCCCTCAAAAAAGATTGACAGTTTTATTAGCCCTCAAATATTTGTATTTTACTCATGCAGTGTTTTAAATTGCTGATAAATGTGAAAAACTTAGTTTAAGTCTAGGTCTGTATATACCATTCAATGTATTCAATTTAAATTTAGATTCTGATGAATAATGGTCTAAGTATCCAATTTGCATTGTTGCCATCTATCAATTTCAGAATCATTGCTCATTTTCTTCTTTGCAGAACTTTTGACCCTAATAGCATGCCTGTTGAAATTATTTTTATTGTATTTGGCTTCAGAAGTGGTTTAAATTATTACCCAATGAATATTAGACAGCATCACAAAAATAATCTGTTATCCATATGCAAAAGAATACTGTCAAGGAGTTTATTGAATTCTTAAACTATTTACTCAAAACATAAGAGAATACTTATCCCAGGATTATTCTATTTTGATCAAAACAATTGTGTAGTCATTAACTTTAGAAACATTACATTGCTTAGGTTTCTTCTTTAACTTTCTGACCTCTCTAAAATCCAAAACAAAAACAAACAAAAAATCAACAAGTACTCTAGATGGCAAAATCACTTATCATTTAAAAAGTAGCAGGTCCTCTTCCCCTCAGTGAAGATTTGAATGTAATTTGCAACTGTGACCATACTGGTCTTCTTCTTCTAAGATCCTCTTGGTCCTTAGACATTGTTTCTAAAAACTACATCATATCAGGAAGCTCTATATTCATTATTGAGAAGCAATATTCTTGAACTTCTAGAAGGAAATATTTATATAATTTATAAAATTTATATCAATAAGCCCAAAGCAGAAAGTCTTTATAATACATTGTACTGTATTAATTTAAATGTAATAATATAATATTAAACAAAATCAACGTAAGCTCAAGTATAGAAGCATTAATACATCCTAAAGTGCTACAGTTACTGCCTGGTGATAGTAACATTACATTTTTTATATTCATTGTGTTTTTAGATATTATATTCACTACCTATTTTTATATTAATTGTGTTTTTAGATATTATAATCTAAATATTTTTATGATATCATGTAGGCATTTTCGTATGAAGTAGGACACACAGCCTAAGGATCTCTCACAACATACTGTACTTGGGTTTTCTATGGTGAGTGAGAATTAGCCTCTGACTTTGAGAAACTCACAGTCTATTGAAGAGAGGGAAACACAACATTTAACATGATGTCTCATACAAGGGATATAATAATAGTTGTAGTAGTCACATTAGTAATGATAGCAGTAATATCAAGTGTTTACAACATACTGTTTTCCTTATGAAGTGCTTTATTTGTATTACTTAAACTATTATAACAACTCAGAAAATCCTATTTTATCCTTATTTTTTCAATAAAGAAACTGAAGTACAGAATGGTTACATAACTAACTGCTCAATTCACATGATCAAAAGCAGTAGGCATAAAGTTCTAATTCAAGTATGGTTTACAACAACCTGTGTTTCCAGAAAGATAACTAGTTATTGTAAATACAATTTAACGTGCCATGCTGTATGGAAAGAGAGAAAAAAGATGTCAAAGACTCTTAGAAGATGAAGGAGAGAATAGAGAGTGAATTGACCTAGACAGAAGGGAATATATCTTTCACTAAGACAGGAGAGACCATCAAATAGGAAATCAGCAGAGTAGTTAAACACAGGTTTTGGAGACCTGCAAACCTGGGTTGAATACCTGCTATACCCATGTACTTAGTGATGTCTTTTAGTATTGATTTATTTTTACTTCTCTGGACCTCAGTTCGCCCATGTATAGATTTTAATATCTCAGTTCTTCCAGCTATATGAGATAAATGATAGAAAACTTATTCACAGAATTGGGGTAATAGTTAACATTGACATATAATGTTTATTGCTAACACTAAAATTTACTCACTTTTCTTGATTTCCATCCTGATAATGATGAGAACATGATGTTCTTTCTCATTTCCAAATAAAATGTTTTTTATTATATCTATTACCACCTTCTGTAGATCTTTAGGCCTCTGCTTTCTGTCATTAATTTCTCTTGCTTCCCATTTTAAAGTAGTAGTTGTAAAAAATAGATATAATCTCCCTTAGTCATGTCTTTCATGTGAGCACTTTTCTACAGCTTACCTTTGCCCATAAATATTTGCAAAAGAAATTCTAAATGACTCCTAATCAAAGATAACAGATGTTTGACTTTTTATCCTCTAAAAAAACACTGCATTAAGATACCAGCACTTTTATCTTAATTTCCAACCATGTTAACTTTTAATTCCTAATTTTGGAGCTACTGTCTGCCATCATGACCTCTAAGAATGTATTTTAGAATACATTAGGCAATTATTTTTTACTAAGTAATCACATATTTAATTCTTTTAATATATAGTTTTCAAAGTTAGCATTTTCCAGCTCAAAAAGGAGACAGTTTTCTATACACTACCTAATAAAGTATCTTCCAGAAGACAAAATGATGATTTTTATACAGGCTCAATGAAATAAACTATATGATATTAAGTGTGTTTTCATATATGAAAAGATTTGAGACACAGTCCAAGCAATTGCAAGTGCTGATGAAGAGCTTTCAAAAATAAAATCAAACTCAAAAAATATATATTGTTGAAAAAATTCTATGTATTGTAATAAGATATAATTCACAGGAAGAAAATGTAAGCAGAGGCATTTATTCATAGTCTCTAAAGAATGCATGAAAAGACCACTACCATAATTCACACCTAAAAAGATGATAATTTATGCAAAATCATTCCCTTTAAAAAGTAGAGATGAAAAGAGACGTGACACCTCAAAACCCTGCCAAGCTAGGGATAAACATAAGAAATAAACCATATGTGTTGTGGGAGGCAAATCCACAAAGAAACTGTTAGGCAAAAATAAAACCAAACTATGACATGATCCAGATGTTCACTAATATGAAGGTCTCAGCAAAATCTGATGGACTTCAAGGTCTGGTAGGAAAGGATAAAAGTTCCAAAAGTGTGAACACTGATTGACTTCAATTATTTGGTAATCTTTTTTTAAATAATTGCTTTTGTTTGAAGTATTGTTGTCTTTAAGCTTTAACTATCTTGGAAATTGATAAAAAGCAGCACAAAAAGATGAAACGAAAGTGCAGGCTTTGAAGTATAATCATTTTGTTCATAGAAACTTAAAGACACGATTTGGGCTGGCCCCCAGAAAAGACAATTGTATACATTAGAGTTTAGACAATCTAAAAGGGAGAAAAAGAGTAAAGCCTGTACACAAATATTTTATACTGTCCATAACTCAAAGAGAATTAATTTAAAAACCCAATAGGCTATACATAAGTGTGTCTAAATATAGTCATGGTAGATAGCACTGAGGATAATTTTCAGATAAAATTTGAACTAAGATTTCTTTCATGCATTGATTATAGATCCACCATTTATACATATCTAGGTCTAGGCATATCTAAGTTTCTGAGTGCTTCTTAGCAGCTGTCCTATGTTTAAATATCTTTCATTGAATACAACACAGTTCAGTTTACATACTCAGCTTTCTTTTATTAGTCACATCATGCTAAAATACTTAGTACAATGTTAAGAGATTGAATTGCAAAGTGCTCAAAATCTTTAGAAAATGAAGACATAATGAACCAGAAAAATCTCAATGCTGGGAGGGTTGAAAGAGAGAATAGGGGCTCAAAAAAGCAAGGAAAGAAAATGCATTGATTTTAAAAGGAAGTAACA